GCTTGAAGAAAAAATTTGAAATGAAGGATCTAAGAAGGATAAAATTTTGTCTTGGACTGCAAGTTGAATATGGAATTCTTGTGCATCAAGAAGGTTATATAACAAAGGTGGTTAAAAGATTTTATATGGACAAATCACATCCATTGTGCACTCCCATGGTTGTAAGATCCATTTAGACCCCAAGAAAAGGATGAAGAAATACTTGGTCCCGAAGTACCATATCTTAGTGTTATAGGAGCACTAATGTACCTTGCTAATTATACACGACCTGATATAACATTTGTTGTTAATTTGTTAGCAAGATATAGTTCTTCACCTACATGAAGACATTGGAATGGATTTAAACAAATCCTTCGTTATCTTAGAGGTACAATGAATATGAGGTTATTATATTAAAATGTTCCCAAATTAGAACTAAATGGTTATGTAGACGCAGATTATTTGTCAGATCCTCATAATAGTAAATCACAAACAAGATATTTGTTCACAAGTGGAGGTACAGACATTTCATGGCGATATGTAAAACAAACTATATCAGCCACTTCATCTAATCATGCTGAAATTTTAGCATTACATGAGGCAAGTCGTGAATGTGTTTGGCTAAAATCTATGATTCAACATATATGGGAAACTTGTGGTTTATCTTCTGGAAAAATGACATCGACAGTTATATATGAAGATAATGCTGCATGTATTGCACAATTGAAAGATGGATACATAAAGGGAGATATAACAAAGCATATTCTACCGAAATTCTTTTTTATTCATGATCTTCAAAGGAATGGTGATATAAATGTTCAACAAGTCCGCTCAAGTGACAACCTAGCAGATCTCTTTACAAAGTCACTTTCAAGAAAAGTTTTTAAACAGTTGATACAAAAGATTGGACTCTGTTGTCTTAAAGATTGTATGCATGAGGGGGAGAAATAAATATTTATGAATGATGTACTCTTTTTCCTTCACTAGGTTTTTATCCCACTGGGTTTTTCCTAATAAGGTTTTAACGAGGCACATTCTAAATATTGGACATCCAAGGAGGAGTGTTATGAATAATAATTAGTGGCTTAATTAGTGGATGTCAATATTCATTATCAATCATTACCATTTATATTTCCGTTATGTATTATTCCCTTTATTGTGTAATTGTTCAGTTACCACATGTACTTATAAATAGGCTCCACTGCCAAAGATAATACATCAATTCGATTCTTTTCTCTATATCTTATTATCTTGTTTGTTCTCTCTACTTTTCTCTCTTTTATAACATGAACAAATTTATAAAATATTTCATAAGTATTCCATAATATATTTTAAATTTATTTTGATAATTTATCTAATATAATTTATTACTTAATTTATGTGGGAACTTATTGAGAAATATCTAAGTTTAAATCTTATCACTAATATAAATAGATTTTTTTTTAAAAAAAAATTTCATTCTTTTACCAAAAATCAGTTATATATTTTTTTTATTACCCCATCTAAAACTTTTCGTTTCTCCCTCCAAAAGTTTTTATTCCTCTATTTTTTATATATTATCTTTTAATTTTTTTATCTCTTCTCCCAAAATTCACATTCTCATGTTATAAAAGAAATCTTGTAACTTTTTTTTATATATAAAACAATACATTTGAAATAATTTAGTTTTTCAAATTTATACAATCTTTTTATCATGATTTTTATAAATATATATAAAATTTATTTTTAACTTTTAAAATTTATGGTTCTTAATTTTTTTTTATCATAGTTATATATATAATTGATTTTGCATATTTTATTAATAATTTTATTTTTATAAATTACAATTAGATAAACAGTGACTAGTAATTTTTTTTAATATTATTATGATGTATAATGTCATTTTTTTTAAAAAATTATTTAATAATTATTTTATATTTTTATTTTACTTAAATTTTTTTAATCCTTATAAACTAAAATTATATTTTTACATGGATTAAAATTAAAATTAGTTAATTTTATAAAGATTAAAAATATTTTAAAACATTTTTATTTTATTTTTAATCAAAATTAGTTAATTTTTTTTTAATTTTTAAAATAAAATAACATCTTATAAATACTTAAATAACGATATATTTAAATATTTTATATATCCAAATTTGACAACTTATAAAATTTTAAACATTATAATATAATTTTTTATTAAATAAGAATTTATTAAATAAAATTATTTATTCAACTGAATTACGAGCATTAAAATAGACTAATTTAAAAGATTACAAAGATAGTTACAATGAGAATTAAACTTAAATTCTTATGCTTATAACTACACAATCCCCGACCCAACCACTAGGAGACTGGTCTGATTAATTATCCTTTTTCTTTTTCTTCTGATAATCCTTTTTTCTTAATTGAAAAAACTGTCTTGAAAAATTTTCGAGTCTCGAAAGTTAGAGGGACATGGTAAATGGGACGCTTTACGCAAGAATCACTCGTCCGAATATACTTATGTATGCTGTGTTGCACTCTGAAAATCCAATCTAGATTTTTTTTTTTTTTTTTTTTTTTTTTG